TTGTCATTTTTATGCCTTAATATACTACAACGTTTAATGCCATACCATACTATGATGTTTTTATGACATTTTGTGCTTTAATATACTATGATCTTTTTTTGACATTTTATGCCATACTATACTATGACGTTTTCTGACATTTTATGCCGTACTATACTATGACGTTTTTTGTCATTTTTATGCCTTAATATACTATGACGTTTAATGCCATACCATACTATGATGTTTTTATGACATTTTGTGCCTTAATATACTATGATGTTTTTTTGACATTTTATGCCATACTATACTATGACGTTTAATGCCATACCATACTACAATTTTTTTTTACGACATTTTGTGCCTTAATATACTATGACGTTTTTTGTCATTTTTATGCCTTAATATACTATGACGTTTAATGCCATACCATACTATGATGTTTTTATGACATTTTGTGCCTTAATATACTATGATGTTTTTTTGACATTTTATGCCATACTATACTATGACGTTTAATGCCATACCATACTACAATTTTTTTTACGACATTTTGTGCATTAATATACTATGACATTTTTTGACATTTTATGTCATACTATACTTTGACGTTTTTTGTCATTTTTATGCCTTAATATACTATGACGTTTAATGCCATACGATACTATGATGTTTTTATGACATTTTGTGCCTTAATATACTACGATGTTTTTAATACATTTTGTGTCTTGATATACTATGATGTTCTTATGACATTTTATGCCATACTATACTATGATGTTTTTTTGACATTTTATGCCTTACCATACTGTTANCCACATGGTAAGAGTTTCTTCCAGGGTGTCAGATTCTCTGTGCAAACAATCTCTCGTGGGAGGGTGGCATAGCGAAGGAAGCGGTGGTCCGTCACTTCAAGTTCAACACAAAAAAACAAAAATCAGTCTATTTGACGCAATGCATCCTGGACAGTAACTACAGTATGATGTTTTTTTGACATTTTATGCCATACTATACTATGACGTTTAATGCCATACCATACTACAATTTTTTTTACGACATTTTGTGTCTTAATATACTATGACATTTTTTGACATTTTATGTCATACTATACTTTGACGTTTTTTGTCATTTTTATGCCTTAATATACTATGACGTTTAATGCCATACCATACTATGATGTTTTTATGACATTTTGTGCCTTAATATACTACGATGTTTTTAATACATTTTGTGTCTTGATATACTATGATGTTCTTATGACATTTTATGCCATACTATACTATGATGTTTTTTTGACATTTTATGCCTTACCATACTGTTAGGTTTTTATGACATTTTATGCCTAAATATACCAAGATGTTTTATTCATTTTTATGACTCACTATACTATGATTTTTTTTGTCATTTTTATGCCTTGCTATACTATGACGTTTAATGCCTTACCATACTGTGATGTTTTTATGACATTTTATGTGTTAATATATTATCTTGGTTTTTTGACATTTTATGCCTTACTATACTATGACGTTTTTTGGAATTTTTATGCCTTTCCATACTATGGTGTTTGATGCCTTGTCATACTATGACGTTTTTATGACCTTTTATGCCTCAATATAACATGACATTTTTTGACATTTTTATATCTTACTATACTGTGACGGTCTTTGACACTTTTATGCCTCACTATACTCACACCTTTCAATGCCTAACTATAGTATGACTTTTTATGCCTTACTATACTAGACTGTTATGTTCCCGGTGTGCAGGGGTTGAGGGAAGTAACAATGAATATGGGCAAAATGAACTGGGCAAAATAGAAAGAAACAGGACAACAGATTCAGTCCAAAAAATAAGTAATTTAATTCAGAAAAGACAAGCAATCCACAACAGAAAACTCACAGTAATACCTGGTAACTTAAATCACTAATTGACCACTATAGACAAACCAAATAACAAATAACCACTAGATAAGATCAATATCAGTGTAGATAACTACTATAAATCCAGCTGCTGGACGGCACTCTGGCACTGGCCCAGCCTCCTCAATCTGCCTTTTTATCTAGCTCTTGATTGGTGATCAGGGATAGCTGTGCCGAGTCAGCTGGCAGTGAAAATAGTAGGCCAGAGGGCAGACCAGCACACATACACATCACTACGGCACGTGACAATGACATTTTATGCCTAACTATACCATGACGTTTTAATGACATTTTACACATTATAGCATGACTTTTTATGCATTAATATATTATGACATTTTTTATGCCTTACTATATTATGATTTTTAATGCCTTACTATACTATGACAATGTAATGCCTTACTATAGTATGAAATTTTATGCCTTACTCTAACTTAACTTTTTATGCCTTACTATACTATTTTTCTCTTGCCTACATCATATATCAAGAAAAATTCCCAAAAATATTTTCCTCAAATATAAAGATGCTACTTTTTTCTGTTATATATCATTGCACGTTAAATATCATTAGGTTTTTGTCAGCCAAGACATTTTAAGAGCTCTATGAAACTTGACCCTGAATAGTTCATCATACAGTACTCTTTAAATCAGTTAGATTATTACTCTAAATGA